ACCCTCCGACAGTGCGGCGCTCCCTCAGCACTGACCCTCCGACAGTGACTGCTCCCACAGCACTAACCCTCCGACAGTGCCCGCTCCCTCAGCACTGACGCTCCGACAGTGCGGCGCTCCCTCAGCACTGATGGTCCAACAGTGCGGCGCTCCCTCAGTACTGACCCTCCGACAGTGCAGCCCTCCCTCAATACTGACCCTCCGACAGTGCAGCCCTCCCTCAATACTGACCCTCCGACAGTGCTGTGCTCCCTCAGCACTGACCCTCCAACAGTGCGGCACTCCCTCAGCACTGACCTTCCGATAGTGCAGCACTCCCTCAATACTGACCCTCCGACAGTGCAGCCGTCCCTCAGCACTGATGGTCCAACAGTGCGGTCCTCCCTCAATACTGACTCTCCGACAGTGCGGCGCTCCCTCAGTACTGACCCTCCGACAATGCCCACTCCCTCAGCACTGACCCTCGGTCACTCACTGACACTCACTCAGGGTGCCGTTACCTGGAAGTGCTTGTTCTGGGGCGGGATGGTATGAAATGCCAGTCTCCATTTATTTCCATTTGTCCCTGTCCTTGTCCACAGGAGTTCCTCAGGCTGGCCTTCCTGCTGCACTTTAAGACTCAATGTTCCTGCAGAGAGAGTACAGTGTGAAATTCCACATCCTGCTGGACAGCCTCACACTGCAGGTTATTGTTCCACAGGCTGGAGACAGCTTCCCCTGTTGTGTTGGCCCATAGTGAGAGGTGACTGGGCAGCAGGAAGCAGATTGTGGCAGTGACCATGACTCTGAGTACTGGTGGACCGTCGGCTCAAGTCACCTCTTTTGAAGGATTGCCGTTTTTCACTCTGGACCTCCTACTCCCATAGCATTGGGGTCATTGCCATGACTGGCACTGGCACATTGCATTGGCATTGCCAACCTCTGCATTATTCACTGTCTGCAGGAACAGTTCAGGATCACCACAGTCAGGGGCACAATGGGACAATGTGGGTAAATAATGAAATGAAAACAGAACGAATTTCCAGTTTGCCAATATAATGAACACGAGACTTTAGGAGACAGGTGGTTCTGCTTTTAATGGTCTGTTTAAATCTGCTGTCAAGAAAATACCTCCTGCAATGGGTAGGTTTGGAGAGGGGTGTGTACCCGGGTTGGCCTGGGGACTAAGACTCAGGTCAAAAGTGAAGGGCAAGATTTAATTCTTCGAAACAAAGGAGACACCAGATGTACACTTTATGCAAAAACTCACAAATTCTCAGGGGTCATCAGACCCAGAATTCCAGGGAGAAAGACCCCCATTGAGTGTAGTCATGCTGAGGGATCAGTCTGTTTTTGCGTTAAATACCAAGTGGGGAGGCCAGAAAACTCTTCATGGAAAGTAGGATTACGAACATTTGAAGCCAGGGATTGTTATGAGAGGAAGTCCGTCCAATTATGATTTGCACTGCAGAACGACACCCCTACTGAGGCTTTGGGGTAATGATTAAACAGAGCATGTGGTTTTCTGTTCTGCTAACAGGTTAATGGTTAGTTACCAACATAAACTGTTTCACTGATACTGATTTTAAATAGGGTGTTGCAGTAAAAGACTTACTGGTTAAAATCTTGCTGAATGATTATTTGATGCCATGACAGGAGCATTCATAACTGCTTTCAAATGTTATCGGTCACACTGGGGTTCAGACACACAGCCAATTGAGCTGTCAATGAAAATCTGTCCCAGTCTGATTTAAGCTGCAGAACCCTCAGCAACAGAATCAAAACACGGGATCCCAACGTTGGAACGGAGATAACCGGGAGATTCAGACAGCACTGAGGAGTTACAGGGCAAAATACGTAATGAGAGGATAAACACCCCCTAAAAACCATGCAATGCCATCTTAGAAATTTCCATGACAAATGGAGGTCTGAAAGGATTTTGGGGTAACAGAGTCCACGTGTGTGTGGGACTGTACCCCAGTGAGAGTCAGTGTGAGTGAGACTGTACCCCAGTGAGAGTCAGTGTGTGTGGGATCCATACCCCAGTGACAGTCAGTGAGTGTGAGACTGTACTCAGTGACAGTCAGTGTGTGAGGAAGTGTTCCCTGGCTGTATTTTGAGAATGAGTTCTGTCTGATTGTCTTTGTACACTCACCAATATTCGGTCCGTACATGTGATACCAGAAGGAAAAGCACTGATTGGCTGAGGTGGCTGTCTGGAGGATCGTTGTGAGTCTGGCTGTGTGATTTGGAAATGATGCTGACGAATTATGAATAAACAAATAATACCCTGGAAGCAGAATAATGCTTTGTTAGTGATGAATAGTGTGTTCTGTGTTCACAGCTTTACTTTTCATACTGTCTCAAAGATGCACGGTCACTTACAGGTTGCCCATCAAGTCTGACAGAAATGCTGCCTTGGACACATTCCTTCCTTGTTGAGTCAATGTTCTGAAATGCTTGACCTAAACCTACTGTTGAAGCACCGTTAACCATAAAGATCAGAGGGATTCAAGTCAAAGGCCCACCAACACTCTCTCATGTCAAATGGTCTTTAAACCCATAGGACACAGGAGCAGAAGTAGACCACTGGGGCCATGAGTCCACTCTGCCATTCAATGAGATCACAGTTGATCTGATAATCCTCAACTCCACTTTCCTACCTTTTCCCCATAAGCCTCAAATCCCTTACCGATTAAAGAAAAGCTGTCTACTTCAGCTTGAACAACCCAGTGGTAAAGAATTCACCTCATCTTCAGGTATGCCTGGAGCTGCTCCTGGCGTGCCCTATGCCCTCTGCATTGAACCAGGGTTGATCCCTTGGCTTGATGGTAATGGTTGAATGGTGGATATGCCGGACCATGAGGTTACAGATTGTGCTGGAGTACAATTCTGCTGCTGTTGATGGCCCACAGCGCCTCATGGATGCCCAGTCTTGAGTTGCTAGATCTGTGTGAAGTCTGTCCCATTTAGCACAGTGATAATGCCACACAACATGATAGAGCTTATTCTCACTGTGAAGGTGGGACTTTGTCTCCACAAGGACCGTGCAGTGGGTCTTACCAATAATGTCATGGACAGGTGCATCTGCAGCTGGAAGATTGGTAAGGATGTGGTCAAGTATGTTTTTCCCTCTTGTAGGTTCCCTCACCACCTGCTGCAGCTATGTCCTTTAGGATCCAACCAGCTCAATCAGTAGTACTGCTGCTGAGCCACTCTTGGTGGTGGACATTGAAATCCCGCACCCAGAGTACATTTTGTGCTCGTCATCCTCAGTGCTTCCTCCAAGTGTTGTTCAACATGGAGGAGTACTGATTGATCAGCTGAGGGAGGACAGTATGTGGTAATCAGCAGGAGGTTTCCTTGCCCATGTTTAACCTGAAGCCATGAGACTTCACGGGGTCCAGAGTCAATGTTGACGATTCCTGGAGCAACATCCTCCCAACTGTATACCACTGTGCCACCACCTCTGCTGGGTCTGTCCTGCTGGTGAGACAGAACATATCCAGAGATGGTAATGGTGGTGTCTGGTACATTGTCTGTAAGGGATGATTCTGTGAGTATGACTATGGTAGGCTGTTGCTCGACTAGTCTGTGAGACAGCTCTCCCAATTTTGGCACTAGCCCCCAGATGTTAGTGAGGAGGACTTTGCAGGGTCGACAGGGCTGTTTCTGCTGTTGTCTTTTCCGGTGCCTAGGTTGATGCCAGGTGATCCGTCCAGTTTCATTTCTTTGAGACTTTGTAGTGATTGGTACATTTGAATGGTTGCTAGGCCATTTCAGAGGGCAACTGAGAGTCAACCACATTGCTGTGGATCTGGAATCACATGTAGGCCAGGCCAGGTAAGGACGGCAGATTTCCTTCCCTGAAGGGCATTGGTGAACCAACAACTGACAGTGGTTTCATGGTTAGTTATAAAATATCTTTATTGAATTCAAATTCCACCATCGGCACTCAATCCCAGGTCCCCTGAACATTGCCTGGCCCTCCAGATTGGTAGACCAGTGACAATACTACTTGACCATCACACACCCACCAGCCCATATGCTCCCTTTAGCTCTGTGTATCCTGAGGTTTGAACTCATGACCCATCCTGTTTACCTTTGCCATTGAGAGTATGATCATACATCGGGGTGTATTTCAGCAGCTCACTGCCATTATCTCGAATCCATTGGAGATTGTCTGTCGCGTTTTGTTTCCATTCACAGAAATCCACCTCGAAATTACAAGAGATAGCTGTAAACAAACAAACCAAGTTAGAGCCAGCTTTCTGAGATTATTCCTCCATATGCAGGAGTGTTGTATGTCTGAACCATCAGCTAATCAGTAAATAAATATACAAATCAGTAAGATGGTAGCTGATCTGTTTGTAACTTCACATCCACATTCCTGCCTCTGCCTGATAACTGTTCACAGAATTATTATGGTACATAAGGAGGCCATTCAGCCCATCATGTCTGCACCAGCTCTATTTCCTAGTGCTAATCTCCTACCTCTTTGATATCCCTGCACGCCATTTCTATCTAAACAATCATCCAATATCTACCTCACAGTGGCTCAGTGGTTAGCACTGCTGCCTCACTGCGCCAGGAACCCAGGCCTGATTCCACCCTCGGGTGACCGTCTGTTTGGGCTTTGCACATTCTCCCCACGTCTGTGTGGGTTTCCTCCAGCTTCCTCCCACCGTCCAAAGATGTGCAGGTTTAGGTGGATTTGCGACGGGAAATGCAGGGTTACAGGGACGGGGTGGGTCTGGGTAGGATGCTCTTCAGCGGGTGGTATGGACTGATGGGCCAAATGGCCTGCTTCCGCACTGTAGGGATTCTATGAAATGCCTCACATTCAACCTGCCTCCAATACATTTCGAGGCAGTGCATTCCACACCTTAACTATTGACTGGGTGGAAAAGTTTTTATTGACATCATCTTTGCTTTGTTTGTAGGTCATTTTAAATCTATGCCCCTCTTGTTCTTGTTTCAGGAACAGTTTCTCCCTGTCTACTCTATCCAGCCTGCTCATGATTAATAAAACCTCCCTTCTCTTCTCCAGGGAGAACAGCCGCATCATCTTCAATCCATCCGCACACCTGAAATTTCTCATTCCTGGAACTATTCTTGTGACATGCTTCAGTTACCGACAGGGTTGGGGAGGGGGGGGGGCCCCGTTTACTGAGGGGGTGGATACTGTTACTGAGGGTGGAAAGTGCCAGACAGATCTCCCAAAGTGCCACCACAGTGGAGCTCAAAGACAGAACAACTCTCAGGCAGTGGATGTGACCTCCAGAGCACGGGATAAATACTGCGTCAGGAACATCTGTCTGCCTGAGGCAAGAAACTCCACCCTGTCTGTCCGCACTGTCTTCTCACCTTGGGGTGATTCATAGGAAGCTTCAGCAGCTACCTTAGCTTTAAAGATGCAGTGAACTTTGTGCAAATAAATTCATTTCCCCTTCTCCAACTGAGCATGTTGGAAGCCCACTTGCTGCTTTGACAGTCACAGTGCTGACAGTCACACTCTAAGAATTGCTCCCATCAACTCCCTGCCAACCCACTCTATCTGCAAGTTAAAACATCCTCCTCCCTCACCCCCATCCCAGGGGCAGAGACTGAGTGTCAGACAGGACTGTGTGACCGTCGCTGGCACAGGTTTCTCTAGGGGAGGCGGGGAGGGCAAGGGGCTGATATCTGCCAATTTCCCTGTCTGTGAACAACCAGGAGCCAAAGGCATTTTAATGTGAAGCAGAACTCACCCAGGAGACTTCGTGGGAGCACGATCAGTGAGATTATCCCAGCGAGGAACATTTGGCAGATTCTTCCCTGGGCAATGACTGCAGAATGGAGCAGAGCAGCAGAATGCAACAGCCTTCAATAAAGCCTGCACTTTAAACCCTTCCTATCAACAACTCCCCAACACTGTTATTTCTCAATCATTCTCAGTTGGGTTAATGAGGACTCAACAGAACTTTAACCAGGAATTGCACTGGCTCCTTGTAACCCTTTGTAGACCAGGGCTCCCTTTAGACTTTCCCGGGTAGGGAAGATCATTTCACAGATACCATCGCCCCACACCTGCCTCCCCCTGAGGCAAAGCAGAATCCCAGCACAGAGCCTCACACTGACTGAGGTGAAGCAGGGTGGAGTTTCACTCACTTTGGTGGCTGGTCTTTAATTCAGAGAGCAGAGTTTTTAAAATCCCTGCTCCTGATCATCAGCAGGGGCAGGGCATCTGAACAAAGACAGACTTCCATCTTGATGTCACCTCTCTCATTCTCAGGACAGCCCACCGGACTTTACAACCAGTAAAGTACGTTTTGAAACGCAGTGAGGTCTAACCAGTTGTGAAATGGAAGCTACACCAGCTAACCCAGCGAGGGGCCAGAGTCAGGGATGGGATAAGCTGTGCTTCTGACAGTGATCAAGGGCGGGAACGGAGAGGTACCCGTGTTTTCAGGGAGCCTTTCAGAAACCTTTGCTGAGCCTTGCCTGATGGAAACAGAGTAACAATGTAGGATTTAGGTAGAGGACCGGCAGACGTGATCTGCAATTTTTTTCCCTCTGTGTGAATTCAACACAACTCCAGCGAAACAGTTAGACCAAACAGTCCGTGTGAATTCCTGAGAGGATGAATGATATCAAAGATATGCAGGAATGTGGAGTTGAGGTTAAAATCAGATCAGTCATATTCTTATTGAATGGTGTAGCAGGTTTGAAGGGCCAAGAGGCCTCCTCCTGTTCCTTCATGGTATATATTCCTCCTCCTGTGTCCATATGCTGTCCGTAAGCAGCTTGAATTCCCAGTTTCCTTCACTGGGAGCTGGGTACAATCCCAGGAAATGAGATGGACTGAAGTGATGGCAGTCCTGCCTGATTGTTTCAGAGAGCACACACACACACTAGATAGACTCTCCTGAAGCCTGCGGAAATTCCAGTCTGAAAAGGCATCCACAGCAACACCTTCTGCCCTGCAACAACAACTACTTGTGTCTACATTGCGACCATTAATGTCATAAAACATCCCAAGGTGCTCCATGGGAATAAGCATTGAACCTGAGCTCACCCGAGGACAGATCAAGAACCAGGCAGGACCTTGTCAACTTTTGAAAATCCCATTCACCACCTTTGGCGACATTTGTAGAGGGTGGTCAGAGCACTAACTGGGGGGTGGGGAAATAGAGGGACTGAGGTGAATTCTTTCTCAGAAAGTTGAAAGAGTTGGAACTCTCAGCAGGTTCATTAATGCTGTTACGACCAATCCCTGGGGTGAGTTTCCCCAATTTGTTACCGTTCCAGATGGGATACCCCATGTTGGTGAGGAGGGATGAACTGCCTTCCCTTCTATATTCACCTGTCCCCTCAGTTAGTCACAACAATGTTCATTAACAAAGGATCACTCCCTTGCAGGTATCTTTCTCTCAGACCCACATGAGCTTCTGTTTTAAAGGGGCCAATTTAACCAGGCTTTCCTGAGTTACCAAGGAGTGAATTTACGAAAGACTGCATAGAACAATTCATAGTAACTCAGCACTCTTACACACAGGTTAGAAAGATGAGTCCAAACTTAAAAAAGACCAGCTCTCAATTGTTTGCAAACACTGATAGTTGACCATTACAGTCATTGAAGTGGAGGATATGGATAGTTTGTAGTTGAATTGCTGATTTCATGATTCTTAGTTTTGCAGGATGGTTGAAATTTTGTAGCCCTGATTCCTTTTGGCCGTAATTAAATTTCAGTATTCAGGGCAAGAGAGAAGCCTTTGGCTGTCCTGTTTCCTTTTCTCTGGTTTGCAGCACCCAAGGTGTACAAGGGACTCTATCTGTAACACACAAGGGAGTAATGAGTGATTCTTTGACAGTGACCTTCACAGCATACTAACACTCGAATCCAGGCTGGTACACTTGAGAACATTCGGTCCCACCGGCACATTCCAAGAGTTTAAATTGGCATTTTTTAATCCCCGTGCTTCTGTATTCTTCAAAGAGAAAACAACAAAACGTGTTGGCAGTTAGGCTCATAATCCAGGGGGTGGCTTGATGTTAAGTAGGGAGTCGATAGCCCCTCGTTTCCTTTGTTGTCACTAGAGATCACAGTCCAGTCCGTTTTGATTTGCCTCTCTCCCCTCCTTTGAAGCGTTGTTGTTTGAAGTTCCCTCTGGATCCATTGGTGTGACATTCCATGGGCTATCTCCAACAGCCATTTACTGTACATCCACAGCCATTTTTGGCTGTATCAGCCCTCTTTTAAAAGTCACCTTTTGGAATTACAAGGTACAAACGTTCACAAATGGGCTCTGACCCATGGTCATAGGGTAGACATTGATCAATTCTTATTGGGCAGGGGAATCAAACAGGAAAGTGGAATTCAGAACACAAACAGATCAGCCATGATCTTATTAAGTGGCAGGGCAGTCTTGAAGGGCTGAATAGCCTAGCTCTGCTGTTAATTGATATGTTATGATCTAGGGATAGTGGATTTGGGATGGAGTGGATTTATTAGAATCATCCTGGATCTGAAGGTGTGCGGTAAACAGCAGCTTGCTACTGAATCCAGCTACCCCGCTATCCCTCTCGCTTCCAGGGGACTTGGTAATTCATCCAGTTGCGTTCCATTTAAATCAATTTTCCAACTGCAGCGATGGTGCCTGATTTAAATATCCTAATATGTCCCATCTCTTGAGAATGAGGCACACACAAGTTTACCCCGACAGCAGACTGGGCTTACCTTCATAGTGTTAGCTCCCCACCATCTCACCCCAATCAGACTTATGTCCACTCAAATTTCCCAACGTGACTGCTTCTCCAACCTTAACAAACTTCATATTTATTTAAATGACTGGAACTCCTACTTAAGCTTAGCCAAGGAGTCTTGAGTTGTTTGGACGTGTGTTTAGGATTTGGAACCTTTGGAGATAGCTCAGCAATTAGTTAACAGATAGCAGTCAGGATAAGCTACAAGGAAAGACGTCCAGTGATTAAAACAAAAACAAACAAGAATGTAGAAATAAAATTACAAAAAACTATTGGGCTGGGGTGGAAATAGTGAGGAGAATAGCTTTAGATTACAGGAGGATACAGATAGGCTTGTCAGATGGGCTGATCAGTGACAAATGGAATTCGATCAAGATAAAAAGAGGTGGTTCACTTGGGCAGGACAAACAAGGCAAGGGAATATATGATGAATGCTGGGAAGCACTGAGGATCACTGGGACCTTGGTGTGTATGTCCACCAGTCTACCTGAAGGTAGCAGAACGGGTGGATAAAGTGGTTAAGGAGGCATATGGGAAACTTGCTTTTATTAGGCAAGGTGTAGAGGTTAAGAGCAGGGAGGTTATGTTGGAACAAAAACAGAAATTGCTGGAACAAATATTTGGATTGCAAAATGTTAATTCTGTTTTCTCTCCACAGATGCTGCCAGACCTGTTGAGTTTCTGCAGCAATTTTTGTTTAGGTTTCAGATAGGAGGAGCTGGAAGGACCACTCCATCAGTAAACTAGGCTTGAGAAATAACCAAGTCCTGCCCTGTTGACCCTGCACGTTTCTGTGTTCTAATAGCTGGGGGATTGGGACAAGATTTGGAGAGCTAACCCACAGATTTGTCAAGCAACATTGGAAGAGACCAATATTTTACTCTTTCGGGACGATACACCAAAATGGAAGTTGGACCCTTGCAACTTGAAAATCAAATAGTGCCTATTTTTGAGTGTGCAATGTACTGTTGCATTTTGAAGCAGGGAGGGAGAAATTCAAAACTGAGTGACACTTACAGTCTCTGAAATTAAAGAAATTCTGCTCAACAATAGTCCTCTGATGTCATTATAGAGGGAGAGAACTGGAACTGCAAATAGAAAGCATTCACCTTTCCCTCTTGTGAGAAAACAACACAAAACCAAGAAAACTTAAAAGAAAGAATTCTAATAAGGAAATAGCTAAGACTGCCTGATGAACTGAAGAATGCTGTTTGTAGTGAGATAGCCAATGTGTCATCTGTGATAAGAATCAAAAAGATACCAAGACAAAATGTAACCCACCCTCGAAATCCATACCAGTGAGCTTCACAATTCTGTTTACATTGTCCAGTTTGAGTTTCCACCCATAGTATCTGTGTTAGCCTTTGCTCTGTTCTAATCATGAATTGTGAAGAGGCGATGGCCTAGTGGTATTATCACTAGACTGTTAATCCAGTGATCCAGATAATGCTCTGGGGGCCTGGATTCAAATCCTGCCAGAGCAGATGGTGGAACTTGAATTCAATAAATATCTGGAATTAAGAGTCTAATGATGACCATTGTCGATTGTTGGAAAATCCCATCTGGCTCACTAATGGCCTTTAGGGAAGGAAACTGCTGGTCTGGCCAATAGGTGACGCCAGACCCACAGCTATGTGGTTGACTCTTAACTGCCCTCTGGGCAATTAGGAAGGCAATAAAGGCTGGCTGGCCAGTGACACCTTCATCCCGTGAATAAATAAAGATTCATGGTTTTCAAAGGGGTATAGCTTAAGCTGCATAGTTGTAGATCAAAATCTTTTCTCTGCTTTTTGTTAGTTAAATGTGTGACAATAAATTGAATAATTTCTGTTAGACAACCCCAGGTGTGACTTGTTTTTGTCCTAAAGATCAGACAAATTGTCTGCCCTGGTTTTCTCATTGGGATTTTATACATTTTATGACAATTTATGAAGCAATGGGGCTCGAATATCAGGGCAGTATTTCCAAAGACAACCTGACATTGGGGCATACTCATGGAATCACACCATACAGACAATGTCTCAGACACCACCATTACCGGATATGGCCTGTCCCACTGGCAGGACAGACCCAGGAAGTGGGTGGCACAGTGTAT